AGCACCGACAGCCGGAAGGGCCCCTCACCACTCCTGCACCGTCAGCATCTCCCTTGAGACACCCCAGCCGTGCTCTGCTCAGGCCCGGCTTGGTCTGTACCGTAGATGCTCACAGGCCGAGCCCGCAGGGCAGTGAACCTCAGCTCCGCGCCCCCGCGTTTCCCCACGCGCCCAAAGACCGGTCGGGCCCTGACCCATTAGAAAATGCTGGGTTTATTGAAAACGTCTTCACAGGCTACGACGAGACAGCATTCTTGTCCCACCCGCCGGCCAGCGCACGTGGTGGTACAACAGGCTGGGGGCCACACACCAGGCACTAGACCTGTAGCAATACTTCTGGTTTACAGCACATAGAAAAATAGCAGCAGCCAGGCTGGGTGGGCATGCAGAGTCCACTGCTGCCTGCCCAGCGCACCCTGGCGCACCAGAAGGGGCAACAGCGCAGGATTGCTCCGGGACCGGAGTACTGCGCGAGCACCTGGCCCAGCGAGACCGGGCTCTGGCCAAGAGCCTGGCTTCTCCCAACGAGCTTTGCCATGGTCATTAGCCCCTCCCCGGCTCCTCCCCTTCCCTCAGCCACAGGGACCACGGCTGGCTGTGGCCTTTGCCCCTGCCAGGCAGCGGGAGCACGGCCTCTGAGTGGAGCCCTTCCTCGTGCCTTGGGATTGTGGCAATGGGGCCTTTGTACCCCAGGTCTTACCGCTTCCACACCAGCCTGACCACGCTGGCGCTGTGAACCGGCCTCCCCCGCCAGCCCAGGACTAACGCCAGTAGGGAGCACAGGCTGGGGGGCAGGGAATCTTGAGGCAGGCAGAGCGCGGGGCCCAATGGTTGTGCTGCCAGCGGGGGCTGCAGGAATCAGGCTGCTCTGCTGTCTGCACGGCCCGGCAGCAGCTGGCTAGAGGAGGCGACTCGGGTAAGAAGCAGGTCATGGCAGTTGAGCGCCACGTTTCGCTCCTGGACTGCGAACCACCTCACCCCCAAACAAACCAGCCGAGTCCCCCCCGTGCCACAGCTGGGCCCTGAACATCCTGAGGGACACGGGCTCGGGCGGAGGCCAGCCAAGATCCCGCTGGCATCAGGGGATGGCAACCCTCGCCTGCTCCGCGCCTGGCCTGTCTGCAGGGGTCCTTCACCAAACACTGCTTGCTCGTCCGCGGGCCGGGGCAGACCTCAGCCAGTCGGGAACAGGAGCGAGGGGCGTTTGGTGAGGAGCAAAGCGAGTGGCAGGGAGGGCTGGCAGCGCGCACGCTGGGAACACCCGCATGAGTATCCACGGCTGCCCGTACCACCGCGAGGGCCCTTGTCTCCTGAGCACAGCGCTCACAGGACGGTCCCTCTTCTCCTCTGTGCAGCCCCGCTCGGGCAGACGGGGTCTCGGAAAAGGACTGTGCCACCACCGAGAACCTGCCTGGCTGCTCATCTCTGGGTTACCGCTTGGCCACATTCCCCTGCCCTCTAGAGAGAAGAAAGGATGCTCTGAAACCCTAGCGGGGTATATGCTCCCCGCCACCTCCCAGCTGATCTGAGCTAGCGCGACTGGCAGCCTGCCCTTGGTGTTCAGCGGTGCAACGCAGGGGGCGGGGGAGGAAGTAACGTCCGGCCTTCCTGCGGGAGCCGCTCTGGCATCCCCGTAGAGTTCTCCTGCTTAGCGGCCATCCTGCTCGAGGGGCAAAGGACAAAAAACGCAGCTGGGAAATGGCACGTAACCTGCAGCTAGGACAGGAAAACGGAGGAGTGCTCAAAGCAAGCAACCGACTTACCGATGGGCAGCACAGTCCTACCTCGGTGCGCCCGGAGCCGAGCCCCGGCACAGGCCGGTAGCCACCACGACACAAATGGCAGTGAAACAAGCTCAGCCGGGCTCTGGAGTCAGCATCACAGGGCTTCTCCCTGCACGGGCCACGCAAGCCAGCAGGCATGGCTGCACAGATGGTGGCTCCATCTCCCCCCTAGGATGCTGCCCGCTCTACCGTGGCATGCCAAGACCCGCGGCTGACACGATCAACGTGCACCGCTGCCGGCAGCCCGGGGCCTGACCTCGGGGGGGGGGGGCAAGCGCTGGGCGCAGACCTGACCCAGGCAGAGCGCTGAAGCAGCGTGGCTGGCTGGGCCGGGTGGGGGGGCCCTGTCTGCCATGTGAGCCCACAGCCCTGCTTGCTGGGGCTCCCCCCAGAGCCCGGGTTAGTGTCGCTGAAGGGCTGTAAGCACAGTCGTACCCCAGCAAGAGGAGCGGTTGGCTGTGCAAGACGGGGTCAGACCCACCCCCGAAATTATCCCCGGGGAAAGCAGCGATCCTGGCCCGTCGCTGCATTGCAGCCAGTCCCCACAGAGGTGCGCCTCCCCCCGGGGCGTGGCACAAGAATCTCCCCCACTCAGTTTGCTCTTGGCCCCTGAATAACTGGATGTCAGCCAGAGTCTGCCTGGAGCCCGCCACGCCCTGTCTGGCACCACCCGGGATCCGTCATTGTCCACTGCCCGCCGGCCTGACGACTGACAGAGCCTGGCCTGAGGAGGAACATGGCACCTCAGCGGAGCTGCATGTTGGGACCCGGCAAGGCCCAGGCCCAGAGCAAGAGGAAACGCGTCCTGGTGAGAACTGTGCATAGGGCGTGTGTTGCAGAAGAACAGGCCACGCCCCGGCTGCGTCCCCCTCCTGAGCTCCTCCCGGAGGGCCAGCCCCTGCCCGGGGCGTCTCCTGGAACCGAGGGCCACGGCTGTCCTCGCCGAAGAAAACAAAGCGGAAGTCGGAATAAAAAAGGAGGTAACGCGGGTCTGGCCCCGCAGCCTCTCCCCAGAAAGGCCCGGTCGCCATTCTGTCGTGCCACTGTCCCACGGATGCGACAATGGCCCATGCTGGTGTGGTAGGTGCTCGAGCCTCCGGCTCCGCTGGCGTTGTGGGCTGGGTACTGGGCGTCTGGGCCCAAGCCAAAGCCCTGGAAGAACATGTGGTTTTGCTGGCACCGGCCCCTCTCCTAGCGAGCAGCAGGGAGCCCTGCGGGCACCGGCGCAGGTTAGACGGACAGTCAGTCCCTGCTGGAGCAGGGGTCCCTGCTGGTAGGAAAACAGCAGTATCGGGTGCACGTTGTGCTGATCGGGGCGGCAGACCGAGCGCTGCTCTGGCACCTCCTACGTCCAAGAGGCGATTCCAGGGCCGCCGAGCCGCTCGCTTCCTTGCCTGCTCACAGCCAAGCCGGAGACGCGGCTCGATTCGCTCTCCAGCGCGGCGGCCCCAGGACTCCGACGGAGCCGGCGCGTGGGAGCGAGCTACGTACAGAAGTGGCTGCACGGCCGGCCAGTACGCCGGGCCACGGGAGGTACATGGGGCTTGGCCACCACAGAGGGCGGCAGCGCCAGTCAGCAGCTACACGGGCTGAGAGTCAGACTCTCTCGACGGCAGCCACGCTCACCGCGGGCCCCGGGAGAGCTGGACAAAAGTGCTAGTTCCTGGCAAGGTCCATCCGAGCCACAGCTGTGGGGCGCCGGTCACCTGCAAACAAGCCACAGAGCCACGTGACTCATCCAGGGCCCCGCCTTCACCCCGGGCTCCCCAGGAATTTATTCCGGGGGGGGGGGGGGGTGAAGAGAGGCGACAGGGGACAGATCCCAGCTCGTGAGACCTATCATGCCCTTCGGGGGGGGGGGGGAATCCAGAGGCACCATCTCCCTGCCCAGTGAGCTGCCCCGACTATGGCGCCCCCACGCTGCTTGGGGCCCAGTCCTGCTCCCTCGAGCGCTGTGGGAAGTCCAGACCGTAAGGCAGCAGCGCCGGGTCTGTGGGCGTGTGGCGTGTAACTGCACCAGGGACGCTGCCGCAGCCGCGGAAAGGCTGAGCCGCTAGCGCTGGGCTGGGGTCAGGGAGGGCAGGCGTGACCAGGGTCTCGGTAACGCCGCCCATCAGGGAGAAAGACCCAGTGAGCTCTTTCCCATCCAGCATTCCCTGCCAGTCCTCACGCCACCAGGGAAGCAAGGCCAGAGCGCTGGGTTTGGGTGAGAGAGCTGCTCACGTCCATTCCCCTGCCAATACTGGGAAAGGCACCCAGCACGAGCCAAGAGCACCGGCCACTGGGAGCACGGTGCAAATGCCACCGGCCCCCCCTGGAAGGCCGCAGCCACACTGACAAAGAACCAGAAACAGGGGCTGGGGGGAAGGAAACACTCAGGGTGCAGGCAAATTGGGGGGTGGGAAAATGGCCTCTCTCCTGCAGGGTACAGCAGGCACCCCCCAGGAGCAGAGTCCGGCCCCAAACGGCCCCGAGCTGAGAAGGGCCCTACCTGCGGTGCCCGCGCGAGAGGTAGTCCCGATTCAGAGAGCAGAGCTGCTGCTCCAGACGGAAGATCCGGAACGCCAGGTAGGAGGAGGACACCACCAGGAGGCAGATCCTAGGCACAGACAGGAGCTGGGGTTAGGGCTGAAAGCCTCGGGGGCCACAGCTGCTCAGCAGGGGCTGCGTTCTCCCAGTCGGGGCCTACGGGGCCGAGAAGGGAGGAAGGGGCTAAAATCAAGGGGGCGTCTCCACGGGACACACGGGTACTTCGGCTGAGTCTCCACATGCTACAGCGGCAGCGCGTCTCCACGGGGCTGCCCGGCACGGCACCACCTGGCTGGCCTGCAGGACAGACCCCAGTGCCCAGGCGTGACACGGAAAGCAAGTCCCATGGGCTCGAGGGAGCCGTCCTCACTGCACCAAGACCGCAGGGCCCTCTTCTGGCTGTGGGAACCGGCCTTCAACGCCCACCCCCCGGGCAGGGCCACGGAGCCTGCGTGCACAAGGGGGCCAGGCCCAGTGAGCCGCGGCAGGCTCCCAATACAGCCGGGGCGGGATGGAGACTTGCCTTCCGTGGCGCTAGGAGAAAAGGGCTGGATGGGAGCCCCAGGGACCACGTTCTCTGCAGCCCCAGCACAGGCAGCAGCAGTGCAGGGTCTCCCTCCCGGCCGCAAGAGGCTGGCCCAATCCCCGTGACCTGCTCCAGGGCCTGGGAGGGCACCGGCTGGCTGAGGAAGCGCTCGGTGCTGGGCTCCCAGGCCTGGAGCGAGCTAGCGGGAGCCTAGCACAGAGGGCCGGCTCACTGCAGGGGACACGTAAGCACACCCTCCCTCCCAAGCGGGAGCCGTGCCGGGGCAGAGCAACTGGGCAGCCTGGGGACGAGGGGAGCGTTTCTGGGCCCTCCCGTGGATCTCAGGTGCAGAGCCTGTCACTAGCCTCAGCCCAGTGCGACTACAGAGCGGCCAGCACGCTCCCTCCCGAAACCGGCCACTCTGGCCCAGCTGGGAGCTGCCGGCCACAGAGGATCTCTGCAGCCACGAGCAGCTTCCAGCCTCCCGCTCCCCAGGCTCCTCTGCCTTTGGTGCTGAACAGCACTGCCCGGACACCAGCCCCCCCCCGGCCACACAGAGCGGGGCAGCCTGGCTCCGCGACAGAGGCGGCAGGACTCCTGGGAGCCCACCCCTACGAGGGCTATTCCAGGGAGCAGCAAGGGGCAGGCCTGTGGCGGAGGGCACGTGGGGGAGAAAGCCGCCGTCCCTCGTCAGCCTAGGAAGCTTCCTGCCCCCCACGCTGGTCTTGGGCTGAGAAGTGGGGCTGCTCCCAGGGAACCAGTCCACCGTCACCTGGCCACCCCTAGCGGCCACAGCGCTCCGCCCCACACAGCGTCTCCGCCCGGCGCAGGCTTACAGCACGATGAAGATTTTCAGGAGCTGATAATCGGATGGTCTCAGCTCCGCTACGTAGCTGGGCTCCTCCTCCAACTCCTCTTCCGTGTTTATTGCGCTTTCTGAAACCAGGGCCAAGAGACGCCTGACGCAACGGACAGACGGGCTGTTCCCGCGTACCGACCCGGCCTCCCCCAGCAGGAGCCCCGACAGACCTGCCCTGCCCAACGCTCCCGACGGCGCTGTCCCTGGGGAACCCCTGGCCAATCCCCGGCCCTTTCCGTGAGCGTCTGTACCTCACGTGGCCTGTGTTCGCCGGGGACGCCCCGCACAACGGAACTCTCTCCTGCGAGGGAAAAACCGCACCAGAGCCTCGACCCTCTGCTGCCCCGTGCAGCCAAGTCTTGCCAGGAACCGGCGCCCGAGCAGCTAGGAGAGGACCCCTGTTCCCCGACTACGTTTCATGAGGGGCTGGCCACCGCCAGTCACCACTAAGGAGCCCGGGGCTCTCCGGCCAGGCAACCCAACCAGAGCAAAGCTCTTCGACGGGTCACGATGCCCCAGGCTCCGTGTCTCTCTCTCCCCCGCAGTGGAGTGGAGCGATCTGCAGCCACCGTGCAATGGGCAAAGGCTGTACTCTACCAGGGAACTGCTTTGCCACCGAGGCGGCTGTCGCACAGGCCAGTGGAGCGGTGTCCTTGGCTAGGCCTCCTGCTCTCGGGAGAGCTCGGGGGGCTGTTCCTGTGTGCTGCGTGGGGAAAAGGTGGCAGGGCAATGCTGAGCAGCGCCACATGCCCCTTGGGGGGCAGAGAGGAGGGTTGCAGCCCGTAGGGCTCTCGTGATGGCTCTGAGCTGCGCACAACCAGCGCTCCAAGGGGACCAGCCTCCATCCGCAGCCAGGGTCCCAAAGGGATGCTCTTGGTCACATTATTGGATTTTGAGGGGAGCAGCCAGGTCACTGCTCCACCCGTGGGGGGTGTTTGCCCCAAAAATGGTACAAAGGGGCCATGTGAGGTGTCAAACAAAAGCTCCCTGTCTTCTGATTCTGTATCTGCTCTTCATAGATCTGTATAATGTCTGGGGGTGGAGTTATGAATATGTACTCTGGATGGAGACTGGAAGTTTCTCTGTATGTGGTTGAGTAATGGGCCGGGAATGTTTGGCCAGGGACATGCTAATGAGCAAGTCTCCAGGGAACAATGGATCTCTGGAGGCCAAAGACACACCTGGCCACTGGCCACGTGACTTCCTCCAGCTTGGAAGAAGCCAGGAAGGAGGGATAAATAGGCCATGTGGTCGACTCCATCTTGGTCTACAGATCTGCTCCTGACCCCAGATGCGGCCTCGGAGGGAATCATGAGCCGGGAAGAACCGTGGACCCATCCTGGCATAGGATGTACACCAAGGACTTTTAAGCCAGCAGCTGTAACATCTCTGCTAGAGCCTGCATCGAGAACTGGGAGATTCGATGCATGTAACATATGATACTTTAACAGCCTCACTCTCACGCTTTTCTTTCCTTTAGTAATAAACCTTTAGATGTTAGATGCTAAAGGATTGGCCCAGCGTGATTTGTGGGTAAGGTCCAGAGTGTAAATTGACCAGGGATCTGTGGCTGGTTTCTTGGAACCGGACAGAACTTGTTCCGGGAAGGTGGGATTGGGTTCTAGACCCCCCCCACCTGTGTATGAGGCCCGGGGCCATCTGGGGCACGGATATTGCTGGGGTGTTGGAGGGGTTTTGCTTGTGAGGCTTCAGGCAGGCAGCTGAAGCGCTCTGTGGGACTGGTGTGTGGCCTGTTTGGAGAGGTCACCAGTCTGGGGGCTGTAAGGAGCTCCGCAGTTGAGCAATTCACCCTGAGCGGACGCCCTCAGCTGTGCCCAGACCCGGCCTGGTCTGTCAGCTCTTCACAAGAGAGACAGCAGATACTGCTTCCTCCTTCCCTGGCAGCCAGGGCCTGCATCTCCTAGACACCGTCGGCGCGTCCTCCACCCACCGCCCGGCCCGGTGCCGCACAGGAATGTGGGCTCAGCCAGGCACCAGCTGCCAGAGGCTCAGTCTAGGGGCTGCGAGAACTAGGGAAGCCAATTTCTAATCCCCGGTCTGACCCTTTGAGTCCCTCAGCCAATCCCCCAGCCCCGGTGCCTCCATTTCCCCCCGTGAGAGGTCGGAAGGGCGGCCAGCCACACGACCCATCCAAAGCCAGGCACCGGCCAGAGAAACCTTCCCACGGCCAGTCGCAACGGAGACTGTAAACACGCGGCTGAGTGGCCCCAGCGCCAACCCTCCACGCCCAGCTCCCCGCACCTGACACCAGGGGCTCCTGGGAATTGAAGGAGCTCTCCTTGGTGCTGAGGCTGCTGATGGAGGCGCGGTGGATGCACTGGTAGTCTGCATCGGGGAGAGCGAGGGAGAGCGCCGCCGGGGAAACCTTCCTCCACTTCACCTCCGGGACGATCACCTCCTGCGGAAGACACGAAGGTCAGCGACACCCCCGCCCCGGCCTCCAGCACCGACCAGCCAGGCCCAGAGGGAACTCGCTCAGCAGGACTGGGAGCTGCTCTGCGCACCGGAGAGGCCCCCGCCAGGACCCATCTGGGCTGTCAACCCCAGCCACATTCCCACCACGGGGCGACCAGTAACATCGGCCGCAAGTGCTGGCTTCCAGCCCCGGCAGAAGGGTGCCTCGCTAGGGCCAGGGGGCGTCTCCCCCGGAGCAGGCAGGGCGCAGCAAGCACGGCCATGGCGGAAGCCTGGCTGAGGTTTTCAGCACAATCGTGGGGCTTGGGCGGATCTCTGGTCATCTCGCTGGAAGGGCCATTCTGAGCAGCTGCCTTGACTTCCCGGACCGGCCCAGGGATTCCCTTGTCCCTGCACCACGCTCACAGGGCCAGCAGCCAGACCCCACGACACTCTCCGAGGGCTCCCGGAGTCGCTGCCTCGCACCTGCATCGCCCAGGGGAGCCTGCTGGCCCCGCTTTCGGGCTGCAGCATCCGGCATCCCGGCCTTGCCTGCTCAGCAGGTGCATGGGGTTTGGCGCTGCACCTCGCCCCTTGGGGAGCCGGGACGACAGGGAATCTGGGACCGGCAGCTCTCCCCAGTCTGAGCAGCCGGGACGCACCCGCACACAAGGGAAAGGGGGTTGTAAAACCACCACCCGCCTGATGCGGAGCTCGGTGCGGCTCAGCCCACGTCAATCTCGCCAACAGAGCTGGTTTGGGAAGAAACCAGGCCTCACCCCCTTGTGTCTCTAATAGGCTGGGGCCTACCCAGCTAGTCCACCCTGCAAGCATACCCCCCCATGGCTCCTCCATGCCAGGGGAGCTCTACAGCAGCCTCCCCTCCCCTCGGTCTGACTGCAAGGGCCTGGGCACATCAGTTAGATGCCCCTGCTCTCTGAGCACAAGCGCCGGAGAATCTGCCGGGTGCCTGGGAAAGTCGCCCAACGGTTCGTCCGCTCTGCACCACGCATCTCACCTAGCGCCTCCACAAGCACCCTGAAAACACTCACCACCGCGCTCCTGGCACGGCGGCCCTCTCCGCCCCTGGCACTGCCAACCCAGCTGGCGCGGGCAGAGACAGCTGTTATAAACGTTTCGGCAGGGCGATTCCACGCCGCAGAACGTCCTGCTGGAGCGCACGGTAAAACGGCTCCCAGCCCAACACGGCCAGTGCCGAGGAAGATTTCTGGCTGGGCTTGACACTCCTGGCCTCTTTCGGGTGTCACGCCTGCCTTGCACTACCGCCGTGCACGGAATCCAATCCACGCACAGCCCCTCTCACAAGTGCAAACCCTGGCTCGCTCACTGAACCCTCCTCAATGGGTGCCGGGATGTCAGGCGGAGGGTCAGGTGTTGAAGGAGGAGCAGGAACCAGCCGGAAGGCTGAGGGTCAGCGCTCAGACCAACGCACGGCGTGTCTGCGGCTGGGCACGCCTTCTGGTGCACGGCCGGCGGGGGCGGTCGGGTAAGCGCTCAGCCCACCGCACGGCGTGTCTGCGGCTGTGCACGCCTGCTGATGCACGGCCGTGGGAGCCGATCAGCGTCTGAGACTGTCCCCTCCCCAAGCACATTTCTGCTGCCCAGGCTTTGGAGAGGACCCAGCTAAATGCTTCCAAGTTCTCACGCTCAACAGCCAAGTGGAAAACCCGGCCCTGGCTTCCTTATTACAGGAAGCGGAGTTCAGAGCTCACGCTGCTGGAGCAAGAGCTGGTGCTGATGCACGGCCGTGGGAGCCGATCAGCGTCTGAGACTGTCCCCTCCCCAAGCACATTTCTGCTGCCCAGGCTTTGGAGAGGACCCAGCTAAATGCTTCCAAGTTCTCACGCTCAACAGCCAAGTGGAAAACCCGGCCCTGGCTTCCTTATTACAGGAAGCGGAGTTCAGAGCTCACGCTGCTGGAGCAAGAGCTGGAATCCCCAGCCTGCCGGCCGCTGAAACCATCCAGGCGCTGCAGCCCTGCATCCCCAGGGGCAGACTGAAGAGGGCCGGGATTCTGCTTGGTACCATTCTCACATTTGACTGGTTTTCTGCCCTCGTCCGTCTCAGCCTCTCCGAGAAGCCGGAGGGTCCCCCCTAGGACCCCACTGACCGGGGACACTCCAGTGGAGATCTGCCTGCTCCCGCAGGAGGCTCGCAGGGCTCCGGGGCTCCCCTCTCGCCCCAGGTCTCTGGCTGAGCAGCGTGCGGGCCGGGCTGGTTGGAAGGAGGTGGCTTTGGAACCCAGCCTCAGAGCCCCCCCGCGCTTCAAGGGACCTTCTTGGCACCACTGCCAGGCCTCTGAAGCTGGAGGGATGGGGCCCAGCCCCTGGAATGAGGGGCCCACTCCGCCCTGCACAGGCGAAAGGAGGGGACGTGCAGGGGATGTGGCTCACAGTGCGGAGGGGTGGGGGGCAGAGAAATGCAAGTAACCCGCAAGCATCAATGGTTCTCCCATCCCTGAGCCGAGTCCCCCGGGACTGTCCCCTCCCCGCCCCACGTCCGCCAGGCAGGCGAGTCCTGCCCGCTGCTGCTCCAGGGGGCTGAGGGCCCAGGGAGACCCAAGCTCAGGGGGCGGGGGGCAGGCTTGAAAACATGGTGGGATTGGGGCCCTGGCAGGGGCAGCCCAGGCGCAGAGCAGCTCCCCGGGACCCAAGCCGGCGCACTGCAAGCACTAGGTGCCTAGGCGCGGGAACTCGGCATGGGGGGGGGGGTGCAGCACCCAGGGGCCAGCTCCACATGCCCGGAGTCCCTGCTTCGCCCCACATGCTGGGGGCTCTGCCGCCAGCCCTGTGCCCCGGGTCCCAGCGGCTGGCCCTGCATGCCAGGGCTTTGCTCCCGGCCGGGGAGGGGGGAAACGCGGGAGGGGAGGGCAGGTCAGCACCCCCACTCCTAAAACTGGCCCCAGGCTAGGGCTGCACTCGCGCCTACAGCTCCTAGCTGGAGCCAGGGAGCTCTGCTTGGCTCTTACGTGTTTCAGCTGCAGCAGGGCCTTTACAGCAGGAGCGACGCCCCCGCTACTGCCCGTAACCTCGCCTCTCTCACACTCGCCGTTCTCCGGAGGCCGGAGCAGCGGCCCCTCGGCGCGGACGGCTCCCGGCAGCTCCTGCGCCTCAGGGCGCATTAGGCAAACGGCCAAGAGATAACGGGCAGGGACCTGGCAAACACAAAGGAACTCCTGCGATAAGGGGATCAGCCAGCCCTAAAGCCAGCACCAGTGCCGCCAGGGGTGGATCAGAGGCCTCTGCAGCGTGGCCAGGGAGCGCAGGACAGGTGCAACGCTTGCTCACGCAGACAGACGCCAGCTGGAGCCTCTGCACCAGCTGCTCCCCGAGATCCAGCTGAGAACCAGGGCCGGGCCGGCTTTCCCAGGGCATTTTGGGCCACTGTCCAGCACGCCAGGCTGACGTGCCGCAGCCGGAGCCGCGAGAGTGCCCGTCCCCCTGCCATGTCTCCCGGGCAGGCAGCGCTGACGGATTCTGCTCCCAGCGGCCAGGGCTCTGCAGTCTCATTTCAGGGCACGGGACCCTCGCTCTGGGACGAAGCCCCCAACAGGAGCCCATGAAGGTGGGGGCCCAGCGCCGTCCCCCCTGGGCACTAGAGAGCCTTCGCAGCAGGATGGGTGTCAGGCTCAGCCAACGGGCCACTCTCCCTTCGGCATCCGCCCCCCGGCAGAGGCAGCTGTCCGCACGCGAGCGGCCGCCAACACGGGGCAGGCTCCTGCGAGGATGTCGAGGGGCCGCAGCAGCCCAGCGCTCCCTGCCCCACAGACACAGCTGCTCTGGGGCACGCAGCTCCAGCGAGGTCACCGCCTCCGAACCACACAGGCCTAGCAAGTGAGGCGAGTGACGGAAGAAGCCAACGGCATTCGCTTTGTCTGCAGCAGCAATACGGGTGGAGCCCCCGCATCCGGCACTCTGCTCCGGCACCACCGGGGGCCCGGCCAGGCCGGGCATGTTGCTCCCGGGAGGCGGGAGCAGGAACTAGCTGGGAGAATGTGGGGCCCACAGGATACCACGCGGCAGCAGGGAGCTGCAGGGAGCCCTGGCCGGGCCAGCAGCGGGTGGGGAGCCCCAGGGAGAGGAAGCCTGGAGCCGGGCAGCCAGCAGGGAGCACTGATCTCCCCTGGTCCAGAAGACTCCCTGGTCCCAGCGGTGCCAGAGCAGGGAGGTCCGACCTGCGGCGAGTGTACATCCGGCTGTTTCTGAATGAAACAAACACCCGTCCAACCACCAGGTGGTGCACACACCTTACCCGAGTGCCGTGGCTCGTCCTGCTGGAGCCCTCGGCCCCCTTAGCCCCAGGTCCTTCCTGCGCTAAATCAACCCCACCTGCATGTCAAACAGACCCGAAGGCCTTTGGTCTTCCTAGAGCACCACTGGGTGGTCGCCCCCCCCCCCCCTTGGTT